CTTGATCTGCAAATCACAAAGGTGGGATTTTAAAAGCATGCCTAAAATTGACCTCTTTATGAAGTTCAGATTGAGATACCTACTGATTTCTAGGGAGCAGAATTATACCACATGCTAAAACATGCAAATCTCACCTTCTAAAAAGGCTTTTCAAGACTCCACTATTATTCCTGCCCCAAATCTGGACAACACCTTATCTGACATTTCCACAGATAAATTCAAGAAGAATGAGAAGTTCTTATGCTCACAGTTTCAAGCATGTGATTCCCTTTCTGTAGATCTGCCACACTGCAGATAGATTTTATATTTAAACCATCAGCTGCTGGAGTGCTCACAATGTTCAAAAGCATTCTCAGAGAGATCCAGGCATGGCAAGTTCATCCAAGACAATCCTTAAACTATCTGTGGATCCTGGAGCTCTCCACAGGGCCTTAATCCCAGCATCACAGCACTGAAGGAAGCTTTCGGCTCTTCTCCCACCACTGGGGTCAGGATCTCACCCCAGCCTTAGTCTCTTTCTCTCCCATTCTGGCTCTGTGAGCAATGTCCCCTCTCAATGTGGGTCCATTGCTGGATTAGACACATCTCCTCTGGGAGCTCATTCCACAACCAAGGGTGTTTTATATTCAGCTTTCATGTAAAATATGCATGTGCAGTCCATGCTGCTGAGCACGCAATAGGTTAAACAAATGGATGATAAAGTATTCTACTTAGTTATTTTTCATTACCATAAGAAAACATCAATTACATTTTCTATTTTATGAGTGTACACAGGGGAATCCATTACAATAACAGAGAGGTTATATGGCTGTTTTTGCTGCTTCCTTCTTAAGCAAAAAGAACCGTTAGTTTTTAAAGACAATGGAACCAGCCCAGAGAAGGGGAAGGCACACGAGCATATCTGTAGAGACCCTATCCTGATCCATCCAGCCTGACTCCAAGTAATTAAACATCCGCCTCAACAATTTCCTCTGCAGATTTACCTTCTCCAGTATGCAGCATTGACTGGTTCTTCCAGGCTTCTCCCTAACTTGCAGACATTCCCATGTACTTCTTCCCACTGGTTATTTGGGCATGTGGCAAGAGATGATTCAGTATTCCCATTAAGCCCCTGCTGCTGCCTGTGGTGGGACAGGTCACAGGGTCCCAAAGCATGACGTCAGGACAATCACGTCCTCTCCGAGACACCGGCGGGGCCGCCCTTCACTCAGCTCTACACAGACAGGTCATTTTACCACCTGCATTTCCTGTTGATTGACTCAAAAACTAATATTTAAAAATGCTTGGAGTTCATACGGCTAAGGCAAAAGCCCTGTGACACTAAGAAAGGAAAACTGCAAGCAATGTGAACTAGTTTGGACAGTTTGCAATAAGGGTATCTGACATAGTGACTGAGCAGAGCTATCAGAACACTGCTTCCTTCTTCCTGCTGCTTCTGAGAACAATGAGTGGACCCCACTTCTGCCTCTTCAGCTGATCTGCATCCTTCCACAACCAGTAACTTCTGGCTTAAAGTTAAATTGCAGTCAGAAGTATTCAGCCCCAGTCTTTTCAAAAAAGACACAGGCGTTTTTCCACAGACACAGCTCACAGCACAGCCAGGTGAGCACAGAACTGCAGGAACCCGGGCTCTGCACGACCGCTCGCCAGGAGAAACCTCCCGCGCTGGGACGGCCTCGTGCTGCAGGAGGTGGGTAAGGGCTGGCAGCCCAGGGGATGGCAGTGGCACTTTTAAACAAAAGTCAGAAATAGAGAAGCTCAGGAGGTCATCGACTCTCAGAGGTGACTGAGGCAAACAGATTTTTTGGGAACTCACAACTCAATTGCTTGCTGAAAAACCTGCTCATAAGCTGCAGACTGCTGGAGGAATGAGACAGAGAGAAGGGGTGTAATGTTTTAGCCCTGGTCACACCTGAACATCCTGACATACAACAGGAATCCTGCTACTCCTTCCTCACCCAAAAACAGCCAACCAAGGTTTGCATTTTCCTACAAACTTTGGACCAATTTGAAAATTGTCATGTAAGTCAGTGTTGAAAATAGCTCAGAAAACCATTTCCTATACAAGTCCTTGGACATGGCATAAGCTCCAAACATAATAAATTCTTTTGTCCTGTGAAGAGTGGTTTGGAGGCACATTGAAAATGTGCAGAAAAGTTCACAGTTGTATTGAACTACTACAAAAGCTTTAAATAAACATGTTAAGTCTATTTCTGGTTAGTACTTTTAAAAAATCAGAACAATCAACCTAAAAGGAAGCATTGCTGAATGAAAAGAAATGCTTTGCCTAAATTATGTCTTATCTTTTATTCAGAACTTTGACATCCTAATCCACTGCTTAATAATGACTTGAACTCCAATGGCACAGGACTGCACTGTGCTAATGGGCTGATCTCAAATTCCATTTATCTGTGCATCTCCCAGGGAAAGGAAGAGGCATATCCACGGTGAGCATGAAGAATCTGGTGGCAGATGAAGAAAGATGACAAACCCTTTCCTGATCCTGCTCTGGTCTATCAATGCTGACCGTGGTGGCACCCCAAGTGTCAGCTGTCCCTTAGCTCCCCAGCATTCCCACCCACCCTGCCAGGGACAGTCAAAGGGGCTGGGAAAGGCTGGTGTGGGACCCATGGGCAGAGCAGGGATGGCAGCTCCCTGTGTGCTGGGATGGGGGGGTCTCCTCTGTACAGGCAGCTGCTTTTTCTGCTGGTTTACAGATGACAGGCAAGACCCTCCAGATCCCCCCACAGTCTGCAAACTGATGAATTGCTGTTTTGGATAAGGAGAGGAACTAGGAATAAGGGAAGCTCTAGATAACGGGAGACAATTTTAATAAAAGTTTAATTATTTACTAATTTCAGACATAAATATCTGAGCATGTCACATTACATGACCATTTCAATAATGAATCACAAATGCTCTACAACATTTAAAAAGTAAACTAAAATTTAAATATTTTGTTTATGAAATTCAATGACATGGGGATTCAAGCAGAAATCTCTCACTAGAGTGATCACTGTTCACAGTGATTCCAATTTTTGGAGCTTACAACTGCAGGCCCTAATTCTGGATGTATCTACACACCTTAAATTGAAAACTGCAAGCAACACAGATTACTTCAGGATATCCAATTACACATTCAAATAGTAAATATATCTGTAAGTAATCAGAATTTTTTTAGTCATGACTTTTACTGAGGTTATATCCCCAGCAGGGATGATGGTCATATCTCAAAGAGGTGAGAAGTCACATGGATAATTTATAAAAAGCAAATTTAAATGATATCTTATGTAATTAACCCCCCCCTCAATGATTCATACTTGCTTACACACCATGTCATTACAAAGGTTTCTGAGCACGAGTGCCAAGACAGTAAAAATTAGTGTCTTAGGTGAAGACATAAATGACAGGTCTGTTCCATTTCTAAACTACTGAGTGAAAGTAGAAAATAAAATCAAAACCAAATTTCAAATGGACAAAGAGGAAAACATCTGTTACATGAAGGAGGAAAGCAGTTTAAAGATTGAACTAAGTGCATCCTTTAGCCACTTCCCTTCAGGGAAGAGAAATCTGACCCTAGGAAATAAATAAAAGTCACCCAAAAAGTGAACAAAAGAGGTGTTTCAAAAAAACAGAACACCATTCATCGCAGCTAACGACTTGTTCATTATGAGTGATGATGGATAAAGACTTCTCACGCTGAGATGAAATCAAGATTTATATGCATTGTTTCCTCTCCCAACTTGTGGGAAGATCATCATCATTTAATTCTATCTCTGCGGCCAGTGATGGGCATCCAGAGAGCTGGTTATCAAACGGCGCAGTCAGCTGGCAAAGCCGGGACGTGCAGTTGGCACATCTGGCCCGAGCCGCCGCAGCCGAGGGTGAACAATGAGGCCTGGACAGCGGCCAAATTGCTGCAGACGCTGGCGGGGCTCATCTACAACCACCCCCACCAGCAGCTCCCTCTCCCCTCTCCTTTTTTTTTTTCTTTTTTACGAGAATCAGATTTTCATTGCTTCATTCAATTGCTCTCCTCTGCCATTTTTTACAGCTCTTATCGTTCCCTTGGAATATGGCCTTGAGACAGCTCATCCGTGTCCTTCACTGTGTTATCTCTTCTAACTTTTATTAAAACTTCAGCTCTCATCCGAAGATAGCTAATTAAATCCATGACAGATTATACACTAGTTTAAAAACTGCACTGAACTACTTTTTCTAAAGAGAACAGGGTTTGTTTTCTTTTCCCATAGTTAAAACTAAGGGTATGTAAGATTTCATTCATTTACAAAGACAAGACCCTTATCTTCACCTACTGTATAGACAGGTTTATATTAAAGTTCCTTTGTTGTGTGACAAGACTGGGTGCAATTTCTCACAGTAATTATATCTTGTTTCTGGAAAGATCTCTCAGCTTATATTTTTGAAATATACACACACCAACATACATGTCAATGTACATTTACACCCTGGAAAAGCATTGCTCTAAAACGTCAATGCAAGGAATGTAAATTTTTATTTTTTTTTAATGTTGATATGTCTTAACTATAACAGAGCTATTTTGACAACATTGCAGGAAGTAAAGGGTTTTTTTTCTCTACAAGTAACGATGACTCCTTTAAGTTACTTAAAATCAAACTAAGCATAATTTTCTTACATAAATTAAAAGTATACAAATTCTGGCAAGGACTGTTGTCCTGTACTTCCACCCATCATCTCAATTACCACTAGCTGGACTTGAATGCAAATGGCTTTGTTATCATAAATAAGTATTTGCAGTAATGGATATACTGCTCTGCAGCAAACATTATGTAGCTCCTTCACTGTCTGCTTTTTGCCAGTGTCTAGAACACAAACCTCTGCACAGAACTGCTTTTGAGTGGTGCAGAAAATCATAATACCCACAGAAAAAACTGAGCATCTTTCACAACAGTTATAAAGAGATAAAATATGCTCACGGAAAACACCCTACCCTTTAGAAAGTACGATAAATAACCCACCTGAGCCTCTCTGTGATCCTTTCCTTCTCTTTAAGGCCTTTTGTAAGATATCCTTCATGGTGACCTTCATACTGTCCACCTGAATAAGTGAGAATCCATGAGCAGCATTTCTGCAAGACAGATGCACATGCATTTTTACAAACTCATCATCATCAGGCAGCTCACTGCAATTTTCGTTAGCTTCAAGCAAAGGACTCGTTAGGCACAACAATTAACAAAGCTGTGCTATCAAAGGAAGAGGAGAAATCAAGCAAACTCCCTTAGAAAGGCAGAGACAAAAATGGAGAAAATGGATTGAGATTCAAGGTGTGTACGGATATTCATTATTTATCTTTATTTTTGATCAATTTGTGTTCGTCATTAAAAGAGAAAAATGAGCAAATGGACCTGCAGGGCTCTTCACCCACTCGTCCCTAAGTCTCTAGGAGGTTTTGCAGTGCATACCAGGGACCCAGTTGCAGTGCCACTTCCATACTGTCCCCGGCAGATGGAACAAATCATTTCACAGAAACCACAGCAGCGTTGCAGTGCAGCATTATTTCCAAAATAAGTAACATGCTTTTTTTGAACGCATTTTTGTGAACTTTGTGGCCCAGAAGCTCACAAAAAGGTTCAGGACTGCGGGGTCCTGCAGGGGAGACCACACTGGGGGACACTGCCCGCAGCCGGGGGCACGGGAGGCACCGCTGCCAAACACTGACCGTGGCAGCAGCGGACAATGTAACAGAGGAGACACCAGATTAATCCGTCAGGAAACGCTGTCCCTCGGAGCTGGCGTCACTCTCTGCTGTGTCAGTAGATGTCACTGCAGGCAGGAGGACTGATGGCAGCTCCAGGCACTGCACAGGGGAAGCTGGTTTGCAAAGCTGCCTAGAGAGGAGAGGCTGGGTATCTGTCAACTAGGAATTCCACCAGGGAGTAGAGGTCTATGCGACCATCACAGCTGCAATATTTTTAAAAACAAGTGGTGGTCAAAACTAGTCCAAGCAACATAAGGACAGTGTGAGAACCAGCCCCATGTTACATGGTACTGAAGAAGAAACGCTAGGAACACAAGTTTAGGCTCAGATCACTTCAGCCAGGCATCCCCAGCCTATGCCATGACAGCTGCAGAAGAGCTGACATCTCCCCTTGTTCACCATACACCGACCTTCTGGCCACTGGCTGCAATGCAGACACAGTGACTAGTGAAGTCCCAGGCTGGGCACATACTGGCCACCAGCCCCCACGCTCTCCTTGCAGCTACGGGGCAGTGGGCACCCGTGTCCCCTGAGCCCTGCTCAGCACAGACCCCTTCATCTATCCCTGGGGAGCTGCAACCGGGTGTCACTGCTGAGTGGCTGGAACAAGCTGAAGAGATGATCAAGAAACCCACAGCAGGTGGTCATTTATGCATTACAAAAAATAAAAATGCCTGCCAGGCATGCCAATGCATGCCAGTGATGTACCAGAAGGGTCTGTTTTCAGAGCAACCCTGGCCCCTCAGACTCCTCACCAAGCACGGTCCCACCAGGCCCTGCTGTGAAGCAGCGTTTCCTCTCATCAGCCAGGAGTTAGTCTCATCTGAATTTCATACTCAGTTCCCTTTGTTCCTGGCAAAATGAAACTGCCTAAAAGCCCCAAATTTATGTTCTCTACAACATTTATTATTTATAACTCCATCTTACTCATCTTCAAACCAAATATTCTCAGCTTTTTCATGCATCTACTTTTCCCCTTTCTATTTCTGCCCTGTGTTCAATACAGACCAAGCAGGACTGAGCCCTGCAATGTGCACGAGCACCTCACAGCTTCTTGCCTCTGCCCAACAGCACCAAAGTCATCACAGTTCCAGTCTGAATGGACCTGCTGAGCTACACCTAGTGGTTTTTTTAAAGTGAAAAACCTCTTGTACAATTGTACTATAATTACAAAAAGGAAACTACCTCTGTGCTTTTGTGTAAATGACACATTTGCCAATGAAGTGCTACAAGAAAAGCCTTTCACACTGGACCCAATCGCCAGAACATCAACTCAAAAGACATACGGTGCCTCCAGGTAATTCATATCATGCTCTGCAATACAGAAAGAAGGTTTCCAGAAAACCAAAATACAGGAAACCAAACTTTTTCAAAGGTGTTTTCCCACAAACAGAGCAGAGTCAGCAGCCTACACCCCGAATCTGACCACACCTGCCCCAGCTTGGGGTTGCTTCCATCAACACCTCTCAGGAACCTCCCGAAAATGGAAGATTGTCCTCCGATTCCTGACACTTCAGCTGCTACAGAGCACATGCTGCTGCTGATCCTGCTTGTGTTTCAGGCCATCCTGACTTGGTCGATTCTTTCTATTGAGCAGCTGGCCTGAGAACTGTCAGACTAATTTTCCTGACACTCTATTACTAACTCATGCCTGAGCCATGGTCATTCTTTGCTTCAGAAGCTGGATCTCATCCCAGAACAATCTTTAAAAGTTTATTTTACTGATCAAAGCAAAATAAGAAAAACCTCTGTGTTTTACTATATTTAGTGTGCTATCCGGTAAGCGAGGCTTTGGCAAGAGCAGTGCAGTGTAAAGCGCACCCCGCGTTTGTAAACTTTTGGATATTTGCTCTGGACCAGAGCCAGAGGCTCTGAACCATCCATCCCAGCCCAGACACATGGTTCTCCCCTCCCTGTGCCCTGGCTCTCCACGTGCAGTGCTGGTTTTCTCTAACAATACCCTGCAGAACCTCAGTAACGACATTTCAGCTCTCAGTAAACTCACAAATCTGAGCCAAGAGGGGGTATAATCCCAGACCAAATAGATTCTGGCCTTGCCCTGGGGTCAGGCCAGCGTGTCAGCACATCGCCAGGGCAGCAGAGGAGGAGAAGCCCTGTGCTGTTTGTGGGGTGCTGGAGCCTGGACGGACCATCACCCACCTGCCGCAACCCGCCTGGATGGGAAAACAGCACCAAGAGGCTCTTCTGGAAGAAATACACACCTCACCTCCCCGTGTCAGCTTCCCAGCTATGCTCTGCATTGGTACTGTTCATGAACTGCTCTCACTCAACCCAATTCCAGCATATCCTTAATTACAATTATAAATTACATGTTTTAGCTTACTCTGCTAATGTGCGGTACCTGTATTTTAAGTCAACACACTAGAAAACGGGACAGAGAAGCAGATGCTATTCCATTAATTAAAACTGCTGCTTACAAATTGGAAGCCAAAGAAATTCCTTAGGTTATATTTTCCATCATTTTGCAAAAACATACCTGGGTGACAAGGTTAAATCAAGCAAAGGAAATCCCTGGCACTTATCATCCACAGGCATTACTGATAAATTGTGCAGTGGAGGAATAAAGGATTACCTTCTGTATTTTTTCATTACACTTTTCTTTTGTTACAGAATACATAAATCCATTGTGGCACAATGTAATATGTATCATCGTGCTACACCTGTGGACGTTTCATAACGGCTGCCATGTCTGTGCAGTCAGGAATGATAAGTGAACCACCCGTGAATGTTAATGATAGTGATCATTCTGCGGTAACTTGGCTTTCCATCTTCTTTTACAGCCTCAGCACTGGAGCCAGGGTGGCAAGGTTCAGAAGAGGAAAAAGGAAACAACAGAAGAGGCAAGAGCTCCACGGGCTGGCGCAGGGGAAGGTGCTGAGCGGTGGCACAGAGACAGGCAGAGTCCTCTCCATGGGCTCAGTTTGAGTAACAAAATAAAACTCCCACATTTAAAGGACAAAGGGCTTCTGTTCTGAATGAGAAACTTTTCCAAAAGCTGCCTTTCTGATATGGAGCAATTTCTAATTTATTTTTTTTTTACACTGAGATGGAATTTATAGCACTTAAAGCTCACTGCAGAAAATGGCTGGCACACTTGCAAGTATCTGTGAGTGACTAATAACGATTTCCACTTGATCAGCACAAAGTCAAAGTTAAGACTAAAAATCCCAGCTGATGCAGTGTACTTAACTTAAGCTGGGTAATTTTTAAGATTAAGTGCACAGTGATAGGAACCAGAATAACTATGCCAGCTGCAATTTTTATTCTGAGCCTAAATTATCCTGCTCTTTGTGCACCTCAGGTCAGCCTTGGATAACTGTGTGCTCTAGATTTAACTGGTGGGATTCTGACACTGCAACCAGCTACCATCAGACATCTAACCAGCCAGCTTCTGCCTTGACAACTTTCCTGGGGTTCTGCCTGTTCACTCTGCTCACTCTGCTGGGAGCCCAGCTTCTTCACTTCAGCACCTACATTCACTTTCTTACATTTGCATTTTATGAATATTCTAAAATACACTTTGTAGATTCCCTACACCCCTGTAAAAACTGTGACAGGCCTTGGGGACTGCTACTGCAATCTAAGCAAAAACACATTTCACAGCTTTGAATTGAATTTGTAAACTGTACAATGAAAGCCTGACTTTTAAAAATGTTTCAAACCTTAATCTAAAAGGTGTAGCAAAGGTGCTGCTTTGAAAAATACATATATAGTAGTCAAAGCAATTTAAACATTGTATCAAAACAGAAAAGAAGTGCTAGAGAGCAGGGGAACTATAAGCCAAATTTAATTTGTGTGCCAACTGGCAGCTGAGCTACAACTCCTAGAAACACCATTAGATCGAATGTGTCAAGTTGTGATAATAAAATTTCCAGGGCAAAAAGCCTTAATGATAGTACAGATTTATTTTAAGCTACCTTCGTTCAGAGCTTTTTAGGTATTACTTCATCATCTCAAGAAGTCTGCATTTACATGAATGCAGGGCTTTGTTTGCCTCCTCTAACAAATCATACTCGACATCAAAGGGGGCTGTTTGCGAATGCCATGTTTGACATTGGACAAAGTGCTCTTTCCACAACAGACATTTTCCAAAACGTAACTCACTAGACTAATGGGCAGCAAGAAGCCAGAATGACTGCCCTCCGTCTTCTCCTTGTGTAACTTTGCCAGAGTCCTTGGAACTTGCCAAATTCGGTCATGCCTGCTTAGCTTGCTCGACTGATTGTGCCAGAAAAGAAAATAAGACACAGATGTATTTGAGCTCTTTGAGATGCCAGTAAGAGAGACAGCTAATGGCTTCATCTCGACCCTCCCCTACCAGCTGGGCACAGGTGGGGGGATAATGAGGTCCCTCTCCCTAATCAAACTCAATTATTTACTACTCTATATAGCCACAAAGACATTCACATCCAGCTTAGAATATAAAATGCACTGTGGGCTACTTCCAACTACTGCCACTGGGTATTTATAACGAACTCAAGTGACTAAGAGTTTGCCTTGGCAGGAGTTT